GTCTTCTTTTGGGGGAGGGAGGAACCGTGTTCATAGATAGAATTTTCTTAAAGTTTCCCCTAACATGTTTTTCCTATGTATCTTTCTGCCTCTAGCACACACGACAGAGATGCGCATGAGCTAAGAGTTGGTTTTAGCCCCAAATTTAATCTTTAGACCTTAAAAATAAAATAAACGCCATCGTTTTCCAAACAGGGGTGAGAACCAGTGCCTCAAGGATATTGGCGGGGTAGTCCCCACGGGCCTTTTGTGAGGCAGAGGGAAGGAAAGGAGGAGGGAGAGCGAGATGGACTCTGAGGCCCCGCGATGCAGCACCCTGGAGGGCTGTCTGAAGTCAGTGAGACTTTAGCAACCAACCAGTGGGGCCAGCGTTCGGGGTGAGGCGATGTCCCAGAGCAGGCTTCTCTCAAGCGAAAACATCGATGCCTTGACTTGGCTCGCCTGACAGAGGAGGCCGAGGTCCAAGTATGTGGCCAAGGATGGAGAAGTGGAGGGGACAGGGGGACAAGGGAGAGACAGTGATTGCGGGGGAGGGACAGGCAAAGCCACAAGGTCTAATACCCACTGCCACGTGCCTTTTCAATCTGAGGCCATGGCTGTGGGTGCTCAGAAAATGCCACGAACACTGAGTGAGCCTCACGGGAGGGGACAGCCTGTCACTGTTCGGAACACCCCCGGGGGTCCCAGAGAGACTCACCCTCAGGTCCTCAGTGGCCTGCAGCCATCGTCCACGAGGACTCACAGAGAAGACAGCAAGAGCCCCTTCTAGAAGGTTGAAGAATGAAGCTGGCAACTTCATGGCATTTTTCTCCCAGGACCCAGTCTAGACAATATGTCAGCAGCTTAAAGGGAGAGTCTGGAGAGCAGAAGGAGCTGAGGAGGCCACAGGGAGTGCAAACAAGCCCCACTGTGAGGCTTACTTCAGAGGGTTCCCTGGCAAAGATGCCTCAGAGACTGGCTCCTGGCATTCACTTGGTCCTCCACCTCAGCCAAAGGCACGCCCGGCGACCCCCCGGTATGACCCTTACTGCCCCGTTAGAGGGCACACATGCCTTGACTTGGCTCGCCTGACAGGGGAGGCCGAGGTCCAAGCATGTGGCCCTCCACAGTCCCACAGTTTGCCGCGAGACTGCTGCCGCCCATTCCCCCTGCCAATCTTTTCTTTGCTCCCACTTGACCCTGACCCAGCCACGAGCCCACCTTCATGTGTTTCTCAACTCCTGTTCTAGACGAGGATGAAAGCGAGACTCACGTTTTGTCAAAGCACACCAGGCTTTGCATAGCCGGATGGATTCTATCTATCATAGCTCTCTTGAGAGTACACTCTTATCCCAGTGATGCCGCACGGGCCTAAAGCCGCATCGGCTCTCCTCTGTGGATTTGCCTTTGAACATGTACCATCCACGAAAGAACACCTGTCTCATTGTGTCGTAGCAGAGACACGCTCACCTCGGTTTAAAAAGCACTGGGCTCAGAATCAAATGATCTGGCTTTTTTATCTTAGATTCACTACCCACCGCCTTCGTAAATTCAGAATTAAACTCACAAGCCTTCTGTGTCTTCATCTCTCGATGGGAATAGTAACACCTGCTCCACTTTGTAGGATTTCGTGAGGATCAAATGAAGAATTATACAAGAAAGCAGACTTAATGCCATGGAACATATCATTAGATTTTAAAAAATACTTTTGTCTCCTCATCTCCCAGTTCACTCACTGGGCAAGGTATGAACTCTCCTCTTACCTCCACTCTCTAGAGAAAGGAAAGAAAGAAAGATTTATTGTATCCCCACTATGTGCTGGAAAGATTTATTGCATCCCCACTATGTGCTGGGGACATAAAGATGAATAGCATTCATTCTCTATCCTAAAGGAGTTTAGGAGAGAAGTAAGCAGATACAATCGTGAATGGATGAATGACTAACTGAGTAAATGAACGAATGGCAAAAGGCCTAAGAAAGTCATCTAATGTGGCAGGAAGTATCTAGCTGTGCAAATGTGAGTATGGGGGGCGAGCCAGTCAGCGACAACTTTAAAAAGAAGATATATGATAGCTGAACCGAATCCATTTATCCTTTCGACAAATATTGAACGCTGACTGTGTGTCAGGACTGTCGAAGGCATTGGAGACACAGCAGAAAACAAGGCAGGTGCAATCACCGGCCTCTCTGAGTTTACAATAAGCAAGTAAACAACACCTTAAGAGACTTTCTGAATGTCACAAGAGCCAAGATGGAAATAAAAGGAAGATGTGAGGGACAGCAGATGAGACTGGAGATGCAGGACCACTTTAAACAAGGTGGTCAAAAATTACCTCCGAAAAGGTTACAGGTGAACTGATACTTGAAGAATGAGCAAGGGCCAGGCGTAGGGAGAGCTGAAAGGGAATGGTGAGTGCAAAGGCCCTGAGGCAGAATTAGCTCGGTGTTCTCGACAGCGAGAACTCTGACTAGAGTCGGGGGCCAGGGAACCCGGGTACAGAACGAGATCCGAGAGGTAGGCAAGAACCAGGTCATGCAGAACCTTCAGGCCATGGTGAGGAGTTTGGAATTTATTTCACGTGCAGGAATTTATTTCACTGAGGAATCAGAATGGAGGTGGCGGTGACATAATCAGATTTGCATTTTTAAAATATTAATTTCTAGGGGGAGAATTTACTGTTAAAGCACTGAAACATCTTTAAAGGCTTCGGCTGCGCTTGTTCTGGCAGCACATAAACTAAAATTGGAACAATGCAGAGATGAGCGTGGCCCCTGTGCAAAAATGTCATACAAATTCATGAATCATTATGGTCTTTTAAAGAAAGGGTTTAGGTCAAAACTGGGAAGAAACAGATCCAGGAAATTTCAGAAAGCAAGCTGCCAAATTTTAAAAACTACACAAAAATGACAGATGTGGGAACTCTTCGAGTTAGAAAAACTTTCTTAAACCCCATGTTAGTCCAAGATTTCAGAAAAATTAAGTTCACGAAAAGGCTGACAGAAAGATTTCAAGGTCAAATCCTATACAGATTTGTCATAAGAAAAAAAGAGAATAAGGAGCTGAATAATATGCCTGCGGACAATTAAAGCACAGTAGAAAGATATGCCCACAATGCAGATCGAAACTAACTTGCTATTTAGAAGACTTTAAGAAAAGTGTACGACATGAAAGAAAACATAAATCGGAATTAGAAAAACTCAGAAACAAGGTTGTAGAACTCAAGAAAGAACCAGCTTAAAAAATCATTGCAGAATTAGACTAAACTAGAAAAAACACGAGAATGAATAAACATAAGAAATATTACCTTCACAGATATGAACGAGAAAGAAAGAAAAATTGAACAAAACAAAAAGGAAATGAAGAGAGAGAAACAGGAAGATTTGAGAGAAAGTAACAAATACTAAACACTGGAAATGCAGATAACACGAGTTCTTGAGGAAGAAAATCAAAGCAAAGAATGGAGTGAATACTAAAATTATCAGTTGAGAAAACTTTCCTGAAATAAAAGAAAAAAAAGAGTCGAAACCACATATGGAAAGTGTACATTTTGTACCTGAGAATATCAAGCAGAACAACCAAGAGATCATCTAGCAAAATTACTGGACGGAAGGAAGGAAAGAATGAGATAAACAGAGAGGGAGGGAAGGAGGGATGTTTTGGCATCTAATAAAAAACAACACGTAACTCATAAGGAAAGAAGGTCGGATTGTCATCGGACTTCGAAAAAAGAACATTTATGCCAAAAGAAAGTGGAATAACACATTTAGCATTCTTAAAGAAAATGGAAGTCACTGGTTTTTTATATCAAGACTCTCTTATCGATATGCGAGAACTCAAGAAATGCAGTTTCCAGGAGCCCTTCCTGAGCAATCTTCTGGAGGATGAGCTTCAGGGAACCAAAGTGACTACAGGTGCAGGAGTCGATGTAGGGGAGCAGTCAACGTAGAGTGCGCCGTAGAACTAAGGCTCGGTGAGGGTTCAGAGAGAGAGAGTAGGGATGCACTGTACAGCATGGTGACCAGGTAAGAACACGCTATTGCATATTCGGAAGCTGCTGAGACAGTCGATCTTCAAGGCTCTTATCAGAAGAACAAAAAATTTTTGTAACTATGTAAGGCAATGGAGGTTCGCTGGACTTTTCACGGTGATCGTTTCACCGTGTCTACAGACACAGAATCATTGTGTCGTACCCCTGAAACGAATACGATGTTGTATGTCAATCGGACCTCAACCAAAATAAATAAATATAATAATTTTTAAAAAGAGAGAGAGTGTATGTAGTATGCAATGGCTATGTGTTTTGACAATACAGAGTTAGCGTCACTACTTTTTCCAAGAGGGGAAGAATGGGGGAGCGCACGCAAAATGTTTTGTTTTCAGTGGTCATGTTGGTTTATAGTATCGTTATTCTGAGACCGCGGTGTGTGATTATGGGGCTTAAAAAATAAGTTTGGTTGATTCTAATTCTGTCATTTCCTATGTCCTTGAGAAACAGCATTCTTGATATAGAAGAAGAGGGATCACGATGCAATAGACAAAAGGGTAAGTAAAAGCTTTGGTCTCAAATTTTAATTGGAATATGAAATCATGAGGTATTTTATATATACCCTTTTTCCTTTGGCCCTGTTAACAGAAAAGGACCAGAAACAAAATGGCCATACTCAAGGCAGCCCCGAAATGACTCCTTCTCTCTAGAAGTTGCCACCACCCAGCTGCCAATCAAGTCCATCACGAGGACGTCTTAACGAGATGATACAGGGTTGTCAAGGGCCGAGGCTGCAATAGGCAAGCGCACACTGTGTGGAGAACCCAGGCTAGTCGGTTTGTGTGTTTCTTTCTTTCTTCCACGTATTCATTGATTTCTTCAAACATTAATTACAGAGTGTTCTCGAAGCCCACGGCTGTGGTGTCCATGCTGTGAGGGATAGGAAAGGTCGAAAGCTTGGTCCCTGGCCACAGAAACAGACAAGGTATGAGGAGACTCAAAAACCAGATTCACACAAAGAGCTACCAGCCCAACAGATGTGGACAAACGGCGTGGAATAAGATTATCTGGAAATCCTGGCAAAGCTGAGTCTTCACCCAGTCTCAAGGAAGAGGTGGATATGGTTTAACAGGATGCATTATACCTGGAGAGGTGTAACGTGGGCAGGACCAAGGCAGGCAGGAGCAGGATCGTCCTAAGACAAGGCTGGGAAGACCATGGGGGAAGAGACAGAAGGAGAAATCAACAAGCACCTAATAGGTGCCACAAGCTAAGAAAGCCTCCTCATTTCACCGTCCCGGCAACCTCCTGGAATCAACTGTAAAATCTCTAATTCATGGATGAGAAAACCGAAGTGCATGGAGGTTAAGTACAGTGGAGTCCGTGATCAGGCATTCACCTGCTGGCGAACATTTATTTGTACCCCAAATCAAGTCTTAATGCCCTTGCTGTGGTCGTTTGTGGACATGTTCAGAGCAGTAAAAAATTTGAGTCACCTGATATATTGTAGCTCAGGTCAAAGAAGGCAACGCTTTGCCTTCTCGTTTTAGCTCTCATAATTTAAGTGTCCTTTTCGCCATCTATTTAGTGCCACGTTTTAGCATTTTTGTGCGTTTTGTTGGTGATTTCACCGTTTAAAATGGCCCCCAAGTGCAGTGCTGTCTATTATTCCTAAGAGCAGGAAGGCTGGAACGTGCTTTACAGCAGCGGTCCCCAACCTGTTTGGCACGAGGGACCTGTGCTCCTATGAGAATCCGATGCCTGAGGATCTGAGGCGGAGCCGAGGCGGTGATGCTGGCGCTGGGGAGCGGCTGCAGATGTGGATGAAGCTTCGCTGCCTCGCCCGCCGCTCACCTCCTGCTGTGTGGCCCGGTTCCTAACAGGCCACGGACCAGTACCGGCCATGGCCCAGGGGGTTGGGGACCCCTGCTTTATAGAGAAAATATGTGTGTTTGATAAACTTTGTTCATTAGGTATAACTTATAGTCTCTTGGCTGGGAGTTCAAAGTTAGTGAATCAACAATATATATTCAATAAAGTGTCCTTAAAAAGAGATACTTATCAAACAAGGTTATGTATTGATGAGTTGATGAAAATGCTGTGATCCGAGGCTTGCAGGAACCGACCCTATATTTACTTCCTCTTGTAGCAATGGTTCAATATTTGCTAACTCAGCGTTCTCAGCAACCTTATAGAATATAACTACCATGAAAAACGAGAATTGACTGGAATCGGCTGGCAATCATCGAGCTGAAATTAGAAACCTGCTCTTTCTGATTCCAGAGCCTTTCCACCGGCTCTGGAAGATGGAGCTCCTTGCTGATCATCCCAACACACGGATGTCACTGTCCATTTATACAAACGCTAGAAAACCATTTTCTAGAGAAGGCCATTTTCAAACAGCGGGCCAAAACAATGTTACTCTTATTGAATCAAAAGAATAAAGACCGCTGTATAGGCAGGAGCTAGTCCTCCTCCCCTCTGGCTTTCCACGTCCTCAAGGAAACATGCTCGAACGTCCCCAGGTTAGAGATGCTTTCTGGTGAGCTCGGAGATGGTTTGCTTACTCCATCCACTTCACAGAACCATGTTGCTTGGCGTTTCCAGGGCTGGTTAGTCCTTTGCAAACAAACTGACACAGCGGTTGGGTTTAAGTGGCAGCAACATGGTTTTCTGCATGACGTTGGGCCACCTGGCCTGGCCCTGGTCCTCTGGAAGTAAGAGCGTGGTTCCCCAGGACCAGGAGGCCACGACAGGCCAGCCCCACAGCCACACAGAGATCTCGGTCCACAGGAATGGGCCGAGCCCCATTCAGGCCAGAGCAGAAGAAAGGCAAGCTTCAAAGCATCCTTCACTCCTGCAGCAGCCCAAACTATTTGCGAGTATTTCGTTTCTTTTCCTTTGTTTTTTTTCCCCCCAGCAGACGATACAGCTTTGCAATGCAGTCCTCAGTGGTGCAAAAGCATATATGTGCGTCATTGAGCCCGAGTGATATATATGGAAAAACCACTGCACAGAGGACATTAATTCATGTACACCCTAAGATGCAATTTCATGCTTTTATACATTTAATGTTTTTACAATTAGGTCCAACTTTTGCTGTAATTCTTTTCTCAGAAGGGGCATTACAATATGCTATCTGGGAGGCCATTTTCTCCCTTAGGCCATTGTAAGCTAATTTAACAACATTAAGATCCTGCTGGGAATGTATCTAGAAGGATAAGAGAAAATTGAGACTCGAGAATGGTAGCAGAATTGTCTCTGGATTCTGAAAGTAACACACACACACACTGCAAAGAACTTTTACTTTTAGTAAATAAATTGAATAATTCAATATTTTAATAATTGAAAGGTGAGCTATAATGAAGGTGAATACGTGTTCCAAAAGGTTCGTGAATACTGATTTCATTATGATTAATATTTTATTTAAATCTGCATTAGAAAAAATGTTTAATTTAATATACCTCTCACCCTTTATTTAACAGGTTATACCTACTCATACACTGGGATGAAGCTCTCTTAACATGACATTTTGTCCCAAATGAACTGTCAAAATTCAAAAGAAAAAAAAAAGAAAGAAATTCTATGAGACATCTTGTCTCATAAGATATAAATTATAAGCTAAGATATCAAATGGCAAGACGATTTTAAAATAACAGTTTTTTGGATTGTAGTGACATGTACTGATTGGCCTTGTCTACAAAACAATAACAAAGATTAAATAACATGGAAAGTTCTTTTACTAAGTTCCTTATTTTTTGTGGCCAAATTACCTAATTTATAGATTTTTTTAAAAAATTTAAACAAAAAATTTTATCGCTCATCCACCTC